TTCTCCACCAGTTTCCCCCTTCTCCCCTTCCTCATTCTCCACCAGCTTCTCCCCCTCCTCCTTCTCCACCAGCTTCTCCCTTCTCCTCTTCCTCATTCTCCACCAGCTTCTCCCCCTCCTCCTTCTCCACCAGCTTCTCCCTTCTCCCCTTCCTCATTCTCCACCAGCTTCTCCCCCTCCTCCTTCTCCACCAGCTTCTCCCTTCTCCCCTTCCTCATACTTCACTAGCTTCTCCCTACTCCACCTACTAGTACTACTCTAAACTTCCTCCTCCCTCCCCCGCCCTACACTGCTCCTTCGCTAATCTGTACCAGAACTACGAGAGTGATGACGATGTTCCACTGATACGCCCGAAACGCCGATAGACCGCGTAGCGCTATCTGGCGGTGGCGTTTGCAAGTTAATTTACGACGCTAAACCTGATGTTTAGTCTCTGGTGTATGCGCAGAAGAAACTCGGAAACTCAGAAACTCGGAAACTCAAAAAGTCGGATGTCGTTTCAGGTCTTCCATAATAGCTTAACGTATTCGTAGAGTTTCTGTTTGATGACGAGGACGAGATTCTGCCACCATCGTTAGATTTGCGCAAGGAAGCCACGGTGCTCGTAGTTGCCGCCCAGCCTCATCCTTTCAAGCCTAGGATCATGTTCTATGCTGATGTCGTGATGTTGTATCAGCGTACACAACATTGACGACTTTAAAAAAATGTCTAGATCGAGGTAGGCCGGCCTATTGTCAATTATAACCAACTAGTGTAAACAACAGGATAATGATTGCAACTAATAATTATTTAGTAGCATAAATTTGAGCCACCTAATACTATGACTAAGAGTATATTAATAGTATTATATTATTACTATATAATATAGGCCCTATATAAATAATAAAATATTAATATCATCAGGTGATCGTCAGCCCAGGGTTGTCTTACAAATATTTGAGGTCCCCAGAGCATAATAATAAGGCAGTGGTTACGGATCCACACGTGTATCTTTAGCAAGATACACACCTGTATCTTTACATGGGTAGCAGTCCCATTTTTTGCTATTATCTCGGTAGTGCTAATATTTTCGCCCTCCGTTGCTGCATTTACTAACAAATCTAATGATATATGTAATCATTGCAAACTTTAAAGGATAAGTGTCGAGCTTTTCAGCTAAAGTAACTAAAATTAATTGTTCACATACAATAATCTAGTCGGTACCTAGAGTAATAAGTTGATTAAGTCTAAACATTATCAGTAAAGCACAAATCGCAGAAAAGTAAGTCCGCAAAGAACCTCCCTGAAAATGTTGACACGCGTGACGTACTGACGTATATCTCCGATATATTTAAGTGTGGCTGGGATATTTTGAGGTTTAAAAGCTCGAGACTAATGTGAGTTCATTGAGTATTTTGACGCATGCATCATTTTACTTGAGTAAAATTACTCACGTGTGCGCCAGGCTTTATGCACAAATAAAACAGTTGGAATCTTGAAATCTTTATCATTCTACTAGTATGTATCTGAAGCATTTGACTCGACATTTCCCACATTATTTACCCAAACGTGTCTAGCTAGTAACCAATGTTTATCATACATTTTTCCTTCTTCTTACACGAGTACATTTGCATCTAATTCTATATAGCATTTCAATTCTGAATGTATTCACACATTACTGTTTATAAACACATGCTGACATAGTTTTATTTTCATTTAAGCAACTGCTGAGCAGCTAGCCAGAATTGTTGGTTCCAAGATGAGAACCAGAGAGCATGGATGCGGTCGGCTAACGATTCCTGTGGAGAAACAATTGCTGATCGTGCTCTACTTCATGGCAAACCAGGGCAGCATCCGGAGAATCGCTGACAAATTTGGAGTGTCAGACTCGTCAGTCCTGCAGGCCAGAAGAGGTATTGTGGATGCCCTAAACTCGATGATGGGTGTCTTCATCAAGTGGCCAACTGGCAGCGAAGCAAACCGCGTAAAAAACTCATTTGAAAGGAAGCGAGGCATACGTGGAATAATCGGTGCCATCGATGGCACCCACATCCCCATTCTTGCTCCCCAACACATGCCTGAGGGCCGAGGCCTATGTGAACAGAAAGGGGTTTCACTCCATCAACGTGCAGGCAGTGTGTGACGACAACATGTTCTTCACGGATATTTATGCCAGGTGGCCCGGTTCCGTACATGATGCGAGGGTGTTTGCCAGCTCTCCTCTCGGGCAGTCACTCGGTGAACGGCCGCACCAGCAGTGTCCAGGGGACACATTCTTAATAGGTGATGCAGCCTATCCACTATGCCCCTCGTTGCTCACTCCTTTCCGTGACACTGGGCGACTGACGCAAGATCAGAAAAACTATAACTACGTGCACAGCAGCAGCCGCATGGTTATAGAGCGTGCGTTTGGCCTATTGAAAGGCCGCTTTAGAAGGCTAAAGCTCATGGAGGTGACAGCGATCAAGGAAGGTGTCCACGTTATCACTGCTATTTTTGTGGTGCATAACATTTGCCTGATTGCAGAGGATGAGGAAATAGAAGAGTTTATTGACAATGATAACTCTGAGGATGCAGACTCCACTGTATGCTTGGCATCAACTCCTGGTCTCGGATCCGGAAACACTGCAGGATCCCTGAGAAGACAGGCCGTGGTAGATAGCTTGGGGTGTCATATTTAATCATCGGGCATTTATCAGACAACCCCTGGGATGTCACATATGAAGAGTTGCATGATATTTAATGATTAGTTAGATAAGTTGCATAATGTTCCACATTTTCAGTGTTAACAGGGAGGGTTTTTATCATCACATTTATTTACTCGACTTAAACACATCTAGAAATGCAGATAACATCTGCATTTTCTCGTTATGCATCTCATTAGAGCCAGCAGTAAAATGCGGCCAGATGTTACGGGCGTCATTGAGGACATTTTCCACGTCATCAAAGAACACCCATGTTTTCCGACCATTGCCGGATTTGGCGTTGTGGTCAACAACACTTTTATACTTTCTGACCAGGTTTTTCCAATTTGTTTTAACCTGCAATCCTGTCACCTGAAGGATATTTTTATATTGTAGTATTGCAATGACTCGTGTGATTGTTTCCAATGTCGTTATGTTACGTGTGTAATTGTAAGATTGCAAGTTTCAACAGACAACAAATCGTATAAAATTATTGAGATATTTGAATCTAATTTTTCTAGTTTTATTCATCTTACTACTTACGATAGTAGTTACGATAGAGTTAAACAGTTTCGCCCTAGCTGCTTACTTTTGAGATTTTATCTAAAAACATGCATGTAAGATTACCACCAACATAGGTCTTCATAGTCCAACCGCAATTTGTTCACAAACCCTTTTGTTTGGGGTACGTGATGAGTTGAATTTATCGAGATTTGATTCCCGAAGTCTAATCAACTCTCGTGTGGCCCCCTCGCTCCACACACAATCAACCTCTGGCTGACTACCTGTGGGAGCTATTCAAGAACTAATGAATCATACGAAAGGAGTGGATCCTACAGATGGGAAACTTGCCAAATACTGTTTAAATTGATAACACACTTGCTAGTGTTGTACAAACAGAAAACTATTTGCTGTATGTAAGCCTGCATGATATATAAAAATATAATAATCTCTGATTTTGAACTTGAAACATTTTGTTGAAACATTTTCTTGCGTAAGACAGCAAGTTATAATTTGGTTAAAGTAAAAAAGTTTGATTTCATGTTCATGGTAAAGAAAATTAACCTGCGCTAGTATAAAAATAATAACAGGCCTGTGTAATGATATCGATCCAGCTGTCGAGTAGTCAGCCTCGGTTTGATATCAACGTATGACGTAAGACCAGATGTACTCGCTCTCTTGTGTAACCACCATCTTTATAATAAAAACGGAATCTTGCAGTGTTGCAAAAGTGTTATATTACATGGTATCAGATGGACTGAAGCCCAGAAAAGTGACATACAGAGATGGATAGACTCAGAGCACCCGAAAAACTGTGTTTCACAGGAAATGTGAGCGAGAATTGGCGAAAATTCAAGCAAGAATTTGGCTACTATACAGTCGCTACAGAAATAGACAAGAAACCTGACAAGGTAGGCCCTACGCATTTCGTTGAGGAGAGAGAAGAGGCAATTGAACTGTATAATACGTTTGTATACGCTCATGATAAAGATCAGAACGATCTATTAATGGTTCTTAAAAAATTTGAGGACTATTGTACACCTAAGAAAAACATAACGTATGAACGTCACCAGTTTTTCACACTGGTACAGAACCTAGGGGAGACAATCGATCAGTACGTGACTGACCTTCGCATGAAAGTGAAAACGTGCGAATTTGAAACATTGGCAGACTCTCTCATTAAAGACAGGATCGTATGTGGCATAAACAATCCAGTTGTGAAAGAGCGTCTTTTGCGTGATGCTGATTTGACACTTACAAAAGCAATTGACACGTGACGTGCATCAGAGATCAGTAAGACACAAATCAAAACACTGTCATTGGAGACTGAAAAATCGGTCCAAGCAGTGAATTACAAAAGTGGTAAGCAACCACAACACCCACGTGGAGCCACTGGAGGTGCTAGACCGAAGACGTTTAATGAAAAACAAAAACTGGGTACGCCGAGAACAGGTTCAAATTCGAGTGATGTTTACAACTGCAAGAAATGTGGTAGGAAACACAGACCTAGAAGTTGTCCAGCCTATGGTCAGACGTGTTTCAAATGTAAACAAACCAATCACTTTGAAACTTGTTGTCCAAACAGAAATGTACACGTGGCATAGAACACATGGCAGATGTAGATTTTGAAATGGAAAATCTCTTCATTGGTGCAGTGACAGAGAAAAAATCTGATGGATGTTTTGTCACATTGGAAGTTCAGAACAAGGACATTCGTTTCAAAATAGACACTGGATCACAGGCTAACATTATTCCATTGGATACATTCCAAGAAATGGACACTAAAAACATAGTTGTTGAGAAACCAACATCAGCACACACTAGCTATTCAGGCGACAAACTGAACATAGTTGGAAAGTGCAACATGAAGTTTCGTGGCGCGAATATGGACTTCTACATTGCAGACACAGACCAAGTATTACTCTTAGGGTTTAAAGCATCCCAAGATCTAGGTTTGGTGAAAGTTTTCATGAACATGGAAGTCAGGAATGACACAAACACAAATGTTTTTAGTGAATATCCGAGTGTGTTCAGTGGTCTAGGGTGTCTATACCAAGAGCATACCATATTGACATCGACCCAAGTGTTCAACCCATAGCGGACGCACCTCGAATCGTGCCAGCTCCTCTCCGAGAGAGACTGAAAGTCACTTTACAAGAAATGGAGAGTCAAGGAGTCATTAGAAAAGTGGATGAGCCCACCGATTGGGTGAATTCAATGGTCATTGTTGAAAAACCTAAAACTGGCCAGCTGAGAGTGTGTTTGGATCCACGTAATCTGAATCGTGCAATCAGGAGGGAACACGTTCAGATACCAACCATTGAAGACATCACGACTCGTATGTCAGGAGCAAAAACATATTCAAAGCTCGATGCTAATCACGGTTTTTGGCAAATCGAGTTAGACGGTCCGAGTCAGCTGTTAACAACATTCAACACGCCGTTCGGAAGGTTTTGCTATCTTCGAATGCCGTTCGGAATAAAATCTGCTCAAGAAGTATTCCAGAAGAGAATGTCGCAACACTTCGCAGACTTGCCTGGTATAGAAACCGACATCGACGATATTCTAGTATGGGGGTCGTCAACACAGGAGCATGACGAAAGATTGAAAACAGCACTCGACAGATGCCAGAAAATACAGTTGACTTTGAAATAGGAGAAATGTGAATTCCGAGTTCCGGAAACCAAATACATTGGTCACAAACTGACTCCCGAAGGAGTGAAACCTGACGAAAGCAAAATCATGGCAATCGCACAAATGCCGCCACCAGAAGACAAGAATTAAGGGAGTTGAGCGTTTACTCGGAACAGTAAACTGCCTCGCAAAGTTTGTCCCAAATTTGTCAACAATAACTGAACCGATACGACTACTTCTACAGAAAGATGTGGCGTTTCATTGGTCAGAGAAACAAGAAAAAGCTTTCCAAGAAATCAAGGAAATCTTGACACGTGAACCGGGACCTGTGCTACAATTCTACGACGTGAACAAGCCCGTCACCATCAGTTGCGATGCATCTAAATCGGGTTTGGGTGCAGTGTTGTTCCAGGACAATAAGCCAGTAGCATTCGCGTCGAGATCAATGACGGAAACTGAAACACGCTATGCTCAGATTGAAAAAGAACCGTTGGCCATACTTTTCAGTTTGGAGCGTTTCAATCAGTATATCTACAGCAAAGAAGTTGTAGTCGAGTCTGATCACCGTCCATTAGAATTCATTATGAAGAAACCACTATCCGCCACACCACCTTGCTTGCAGAGAATGCTGCTACAATTACAGAAGTATACGTTCTCGCTTGTATACAAACCTGGAAAAGAGCTTGTAGTTGCAGATACATTGTCTAGGGCATATCTCCCAACCTCAGAGGATACGGATATTCAGGAAGACATTGAGTGTTATGTGCATTCGGTTATTTCTAACCTACCCGTATCAGATCCCAAGTTGTTGGAGATTCGCACGGAAACAGCGAAATCTGAGTGCATGTTGACGCTCAAAACAACTATCAATGATGGTTGGCCAGAAAACAAGTAGATGGTTCCATTTGAAATTCGACCATATATTGGAACTGTAGAGATAAACTCTCTTATATTGATGGGATCATCATGAAAGGGGAAACTATCGTGATTCCACGATCAATGTGCAGAGAAATGCTTGACCGCATCCATGTAGGACACATGGGCATTGCGAAATCACGACAGCGAGCACGAGACATTATGTATTGGCCAAAGATGAACTCGGAAATTGCGGACATGGTTTCCAAGTGTTCGACTTGTTTGGAACACAGAAATTCCAATCAAAAGGAACCCATGATTCCCTCACAAATTCCCACCAAACCTTGGGAAATGGTCGCCACTGATTTATTCACTTTGAACGGTGAGAACTACTTGCTTATAGTAGATTACTATTCGCGATATTTCGAAGTTGCGAAGCTCAGTGACACCAAGAGTGCCACAGTTATCATGCACACAAAATCTGTATTTGCTAGACATGGTATAGCTGCAGAGGTGAGAAGTGATAACGGACCACAATATTCTTCACATGAGTACAAAGACTTTGCCAAAAGTTGGGGTTTCGTACACGTGACGACAAGTCCATATTTTCCCCAGGCTAATGGTTTAGTCGAAAAAACTGTCAGCACAGTCAAATCGCTGCTGAAGAAAGCACAAGAAGATGGAAAAGATCCATATCTTGGTCTCCTCGAGTATCGAAACACCCCGTTGGACGGAATTGGATCGCCTGCCCAAATGTTGATGGGACGCAGACTTCGTTCAACAATTCCGATGACAAGTGCCCAGCTTCAACCAGGAACAATTAATCCGACAAAAGTTCAGGCACAGCTTAGAAAAAAGCAACAGGTCCAGAAGGCCTATTTTGATAAAGGTTCTAAATCTTTGTCAGCTCTGGAGACAGGTGACACTGTCAGAATTCAGCAAGGAGATCGATGGCATCCAGCCACTGTAGTCGAGAAAACAAAGTATCCGCGATCGTACGTGGTTGAAACTCCAGACGGTGGTACATATCGGCGCAACAGACGTCATCTAATGTCGACTAACGAGCCAGCACTCCGTCATCATATCGAGGATGTGTCGCCGCCCACAGCAGTCCCGCCACCTGATATTCGTTCGCCGACAAACACGATGACGCCGACCGCAACTGAATCTGTTCGAACCAGTGGTCGAGAAATCCGAAAACCAATCAGATTCAAAGACTATGTGACATGATGTGTATAGTGTGTGTTAAAACTGTTATTATTCATGAGCAGATATATGTACTTTAATTTCTGATCTGTAATAATGTAGATCTGTAAAATTTTCAGTTTGGAGTTGTGTGTTAACAACTAGAGTTTTCAAAATAACTGACAATTCTGTTGAAGTCAATTTTCAATGTTGGACTATACTGTATAAGTGATGAAAAGCAGTTCAGTGGAGTTATATCAAAGACTGTAGTTTGAGTTTTTAGTGATTACAATTTGTGGTGTGAAATACACTTAACCAGAGACTACAGAATAACCTTCAGTAAATGCTTTATTTCATATTTTAATTTACCAGCAGACATTGAGTATATTTGACATTTCAAGAGACCGAGTTTTTGAAATAATGTAATGTACATCATCTCTTTGATAAAAAGGGAAGTTGTAATGATATCGATCTAGCTGTCGAGTAGTCAGCCTCGTTTTGATATCAACGTATGACGTAAGACCAGATGTACTCGCTCTCTTGTGTAACCACCATCTTTAGAATAAACACGGAATCTTGCAGTGTTGCAAAAGTGTTATATTACTGCCTGAAAGGGGATATTGCGGATTGCCTACCCGAGGAACCAATATTCCTCAGAGAGCCGAGTCCTATCGGAGCTAGTTCCATTAGTCAGCTGAGAGAAGTATTGGTTCCAAGGGGAGACCATCTGCATTATATTACCCTCCAGGCCAGTCATTATTCATTTCATTATACCGAATAAAAATACCAATATTAAGAGAAACAAACTATTAAATGTTAAATTAAATGATATTTAATTATTTAAAAAATATGAACATAAATCTTCGTGCACTTCCACCAGCAACTTCAGGGTACTTTGGTCTGAGTGGGTGACATTGCATCAATTATCACATGGCAATATCACATGGCTAGTTAACATTGTGAAATAACCAATGGCAGCGAGCAGGAAAATAGCATTGCGTTATATAATGAGGTACGATAATTTGGTTTACTAGTTAGTTAGGCTGATAAGGTCTATGTCCCCC